TTTCATGCCAATTATGATGTCTAAAGTAAGTAGATTAGTAAACTTAAATCATTGCTTCATAGGGAAATAGAAATTTAGTTTCCTAAAATTCATGACTATAACTTATTCTCAATTACTAAAAAACTGTTTTGTGTATTTTTCATGGAATCTTATTTGATATATTTTTGTTCATTAAGTTAAATAATTGACCAATAACAATATAAAATATGCATGAACAAAGTTTATCTAACACAAGTATTTTATTCCCCAGATATATCAATGGCTCTCTTAAAAAATACTAGGTATTTTGTTAATGGTTATTAATTGTCAGAAGTGGCAATACCATAATATGTTTAAAGCATTTGATTATACTCCCTGCCTCTATTTTCTTTACATTACTTCTTCTTCCAAAGATCTTCTGTATTTCACATAAAGTTTCATCTTTTTATTTACACATATAATCTAATTTGGGAAAAAAATGAGCTAAACTGCAATTAATTCAAGTTGTATTGTGGATTAACAGGATGAACAAAAACTTGAATATTTTTGTTAACTTCTGAATTGAGCTATCATTATTATTATGTTTAGGTTTAGGATCCCAGACAGAATTAGAATTAGGATTAGTGAAATAGGTTCAATGCAGGATGCAACAATGATACTTAGAAGACCCTATGTTGAAAATGAACTTTACACCATGGGGAACGACGAGTAAGGGAGGTGAGGTAGTAGGAGAACAACAAAGAAGTGTTTAACAATGCTCAACAAGAAATATACCCATTACCTTACTCGTGTAACTAATTTGACTTTAAAGCATCATTACAATAAAATAAAATTTAAAAAAATAATTAAGATGGGTGTCAGTGGCTCACGCTTGTAATCCTTGCTACGCAGGAGGCTGATGTCTGAGGATCGGAGTTCAAAGCAGCCAAGGCAGGAAAGTCTGTGAGGCTCATATCTCCAATAAACCACTAGAAAACCATAAGTGGCGCTGTGGCTCAAGTGGTAAATCGCTTGCCTCGATCTGAAGAGTGGAGGGAGAGCTCCCAATGCTAGAATTTAGGCCCCATGACTGAAAAAAAAAATAGAAAGATAAAGAAAAAGAAAACCTGACAGGAAATAGAAAAACACTTAAAAATGTAGGCTCGGGCTGGGATGTAGCTCAGTGGCAAAGCGCTTGTCTAGCAAGTGCAACGTCCTGGGTTCGATCCCCAGTACCAAAAAAGAAAAGACAAAAAAATACAGTTAAAAAAAAAATGTAGGCTCAAAATGCAAGTAAAATTTAGACCTACATGTTGAGCAAGAGAATAAAAGTGCAATAGAAGCTTGCTATTAACATTATGATTCGGTTATATGTAGGTTTAGGATTAGGCAAGGTGTTCCAGTTAGATTTGGGGTTAGCATGAGAAAAAGATGTAAGATATAAAAAGATGTAAAACAGTAACATATTTTAAGAAGAATGAATGGCATCAAGGTTAGAATGAATGAAAACCAGTGTCTGTGTTACTTTGAACATTCAGACATAATTTGGCTTAAAGGGTGAATTACATTTTTTTCTCTTTAGGTTTAGGGAAGGATACGCTTTAGTGTAAAATTTAGTTTTCCAATAAGAAGTAGAAGCAAAAAAAATGTGTGATTGAATAGAATCTAGACAATTTTCCTTACAGTAACTATTTGGTGTTAAATTAGATTGTGATTAGGATTAGGTTTCTGGTTAAAGGGGGTTGAGAATAGGATAAAGAAATTGGCTAAACTAGTTTCTCATGCCTATTATCCTAGCTAATCAAGAAGCTGTTTTCTGAGGATTGCAGTTCAAAGCTTGCCGGGGCAGAAAGTCCATGAGACTTTTATCTCCAATTAACCACCGGAAAACTCAAAAGTGGTGCTGTGGCTCAAGTGGTAAAGTGCACACCTAGAACTAAAAACTCAGGGATCATGACCTAGAGCTCAGGGATCATGCCCAGGCCCAGAGTTCAAACCCCACGTTCGACAAAAAGAAAAAGAAAACAAATGTTTTAAATGTTAAGTAAATCTGAACTTATTTTAGGTTCTAGGAATTCAGGAAAAGCTTGGATAGTGGAAGTACAATGTATTTCATAATATCAGGATTTGAGATCAATGGATATAATGATTCCTGTTAAGGAACAAGATAGATTCAGAGTTAAGAGTGATAAAATCTGTAGCGTTTAGGAAAACCTTCAATTTATTTCAAGAATTACAGGTGGAATTTCAGTAAGGATGACACAAAACAACCATTTTTCATAAATTTTAGAAGTAAGATAACATTAGTGTCAAGGATATGGTTAGGATTCTAGACATGATTGGGATTAGAGTGAAGGAGAAAAAATGAGAGTCAAATTGAAGGTAAATTTTAGAATAAGCCTGTCAGGAATTAGCATGAATGTGAACTAGAGTATTGATATTAATATTAAAATCTACTTGCAATTAGGGTTATGGTTATTCTCAATGTTCTAGTTAAAATTAAGTTTAGGGTTAGAAAATGACTAAGATATTGGAAAAAAATTGAAAATTATTTTGGAAGGCTTATTTGAATCAAGTTAGGATGAGTGAAAACTAGTGTACTTGTGTTAGTGTTAGTATTGACATATAATTTGGATTAACATTAGGGTCAGTATTTTGTTCTGATTATGAATAGTGTTATGAAAAGGAAAGTTTTTAGTATAATATTCAGTTTTCACTAGCATGTGGAAGCAAAAAAATGAGATTGAACAGTAACTAGAGCATTACCATTATATTTATTTCTCAGTGATCATTCTCGTAATGATTAATGAGAGTTTTCCAGCCAGGTTTAGGTTGAGAGTTAGAGTTAATTAATGGAATAGATGGTAAGTAAATCTGAAATTGTTTTAGGGCACAGGGGTTCAGGAAAAGGTAGGATCACTGGAAACTACAGTATTTTTCCTGATAAGAGAATGTGAGGACAAATAATATAAAGGTTCATGTTAGGGAACAAGATAACTTCAGAGGAAGAGTCAGAAAATTTATGGGAATTAGGGCAAACTGAAGCTCATTTCCAGAGTGCAAACTGGAGTATTCATTAGAATGAATAAAAACAGAGTATTTTTCTTAAACATTAGAATTGGACTATCATTAGGGTGAAAGTTAGGTTTCAGTTCCAGCTGGAGTTAGTGTTAGCATTAGGGAAATGGAAAGTTTAGGGTCAAACTGAAAGTAAATCTTCGAATAACAAGCCTAGTTAGAATTAGGATGAATGTGAAGTAAGAAACTGCTAATAATTATTAAGATTAGGGTATGGTTAGTGTGAGGGTTAGCCTCAATATTCCAGTTAGGGCTAGGGTTACAAAAATGGCAAGATAATGAGAAAAACTACAAACTATTTGAGAGATGAGTTGAATCAAAGTTAGGATGAATAAAAACTAATGTATTTGTATGGCTTTTAGAATCCAGAGGCTATTAGTTCTAGGGCTAGGGTTGCTTGTCTAGTTCAGGTTAGACTTAGGATTAGGGAAGGGTAAGCTTTAAGGTAAAACTGAGTTTTCTGCTAACACTTTCAAGTAAAATAAGTTTGAAATTTAACAAATACTCCAGAGTTTTCCTAAGTTTCCTATTCAGGGTTCAATAGGGTTAAATTTAAAGTTAGGTCTCTAGTAAGGTTTAGATATATAGTTAGGGTTAGGCACTAGAGTAGATTTTAAGTAAACCTGCAACTTCTTTTTGGAGACAGAGGAGTTCAGAAAAAGTTAAGATCAGTGGAAACTATGGTAGTTTTCATGATATGAAGATTTGAGCTTAATGATTCATAATAGGGAACGATTTCAGAGTCCAAGTTAGGGAATCTGTAGGATTTGTAGCAAAGTGCAAATAAATCATTTCAAAGACAATGAGAATCTGTTAGGATATATTTTCCATTAATTTTAGGATTGGGTTACTATTATCATCAAGGTTGCTCTTAGGGTTCTGTCCAAGATTTGAGTTAGGATTAGGGAAATGGAAGATTGAGAACTTGAGTGACTGACTTCCTTGTGTATGTATATGCACAATTCTAAGGCTTGAACACAAGGATTGGGTTCTGCCCCTGAGCTTTTTGCTGTAGTCTAGCATTTTACCACTTGAGCCATGAGTCCACTCCAGCTTTCTTTGGCAGTGAATTGGAGATGAGCGTCTCACAGACGTTCCTATCTAAGCTGACATTGAACTGAGATCCCCAGATCTCTGCTTTCTGATTAAAGGTAGGATTAAAGATACCAGAGCCCAGGAAAGTGCCTGAATTTTACTGATTGTTTGTACTTTTGTTCGAGATTGAGACTTTAATTCAATATCTGACAGCTTTGCTCACTAAGTAGCACTGTGCCACTTGAGCCATATCTCCAAAAATGATTATTTTAAATAGCTGAAAATCATTAAATTTTCTTCAGTGATATGTATCATTAGTATTGTTTTAAAACTTATCCTAACAAAAAAGACTTATGGACCCGGGAGTTGATCTGACCAAATTCTCCTTCTTTGCTTCTAATTGCATAACAGTTTAGGGACATGATTTTTTAATTATTATTTTAAGTAGCATAGGAATTATCATTAAACAGATCATTTTATGCCTACAATATACCTAGATCAATGCCAACCCTTTCAATATTCTCATCCACCCCTCATCTATGCACTTCTTCCTTCACTCTTCTTAATATTGTAGGATATTTATGGATTCCTCTCTGCATTTTCCCCCTTTTCTCCTGTTCATTCTTCTACCTTTTAAACCTTCACGCCTCTTTTGACTACCCACTACCATATGATCCAACAACTCTACTCCTGGTCATTTACCCGAAAGATTACAAACCAGGATATAGTAAAGGTTTCAGCCCAACCATTCTTATTGAATCTGCCCAGATAACCCTCAAGAGAAAAATTAATCAAAAAATGTAATATACACACACACACACACACACAAACACACACACACAAACACAAACACACACACACACATACAAGAAATTCTACTTAACCATCAGAAAGAATATTTTTAACATTTGTATCTCTCATTTCTCAATTCATCTGCCTGGTATCCCACTGTCATCGTATGGTCCTTGTACTGCAGTCACAGAAATATGCAAACTGTTGTAAAAGATTTTCAGGGTTATGGGCTAGCCATAATTTCCTGAATATGAGTTCTCTGCTCATTCTCTTTGTCTATTCATGCATTTGAGTAGTGATTATACAGATTCATTTGTACCGTTGGCTACACGGAAAAGAGATGAACCATTTGTATGTATATATATATACATACATATATACATACATACATAGATATACATACTTACATGGACATATGCACACATATGGATATATATTAAATACTTGAGTACATTTTATGTTTTCAAGAATTATAGAGCTAACAAAAATCACATGCATTTTCCTTTTCAAGTTTTTCAAAACCTAAATAACTTTGTCTCTTTTGAATAGCTAATTTTAAAGAGAATGTCACCATCTCGGATCTGTCAGTCGCCTTGAAATTAGATGTTCAAATAGGATAAAGTTATTTACGCTTTTTGGTGGAAGGGTTCTATTCAGGGATTTTCTGCTTGCTAGACACGACTCTGGTTGTATAGCATCAAGAAACTCAACTACTTTTACCATACTTCTAGTCCATTTAATTACTTGAGGTCTTGAACTTTTTGTCTGGGTCTGATCGTAGATTGACTGAGACTTTGCTACCTATCCCTCTCACATAATTAGCTAGGATTACAGATGTGAACCACTATGGAAAGCTCATTTGTTGAGATGGCTATCTTGGCATTTTTTTCTCTGGCCTGGCCTCAGACCATGATCCTTGTCATCTCTGCTTCCCAATCAGCAGTTATTATAAATGTGGGCTACTATACTTGGTGTACATGACACCTTCTGTTTTATAAAAGGGGTTTTTACTGTAAAATATAGTATAGAGGGGTTACAGTTACATGAGCAAGGTAATGAGTAAATTTTCTATCAAGCATTGTTACCTCCTCCTTTGTTTTCCCCTACCATTTCTTCCCTCCCACCTCCACAACTACACTCCCCCTCTCCTCCCTTCCCTGCTTCCCCGCCCATATTGTAAAGTTCCTTTTTCAACATAGTGTCTTGTGCATCTCATTGTTACAACGGGTCAGCCTGCCCTATTTAAACATTTTGTTTTTTCCCTTCCCCTCCCCAAGCTAGAGAAGGGTGTATACAAGATGCAGGGCACCAACATTAAATACAGTTTAAACCGGGGTTAAACCATGGGGGGAGGAACATAAAAAGAAAAAAAACCTTGGTAAACTATAAACCCTATCTTGGGGTTTATTTCGTTTAACATCATCTTATCTGGTTGTATGTACATAGCTTTTGAACTTGTATGCTTGTCTGAGACATATAATAGTTATTGCACGTAAGGGAAACCATAGGACCTATGTTTCTTTGGGTTTGGCTTACTTCACTTGATATAATTTTTCCAAGACTCCAGTTAGAGCTCCCCTATGATCCAGCAATCCCATTTTTGGCATTTGCCCAAATGTTCAAAAAGAAGACCATATTAAGCTAACAGCACAACTATGTTTATTGCAACATTATTTACCATAGCTATGATATGGAACCAACCCAGATGCCCCTCAGTAGATGAATGGATCAAGAAAATGTGATACACACACACACACACACACACACACACACACACACACACACACACACACACACACCATGGAATTCTATGCCTCCGTCAGAGAGAATGACATCGCCCCATTTGCTAGGAAATGGAAAGACGCGGAAACAATTTTATTAAGTGAAATAAACGAGGCTCAAATAACCATTGGTCCCATGGTTAACCTCACTTGCAGTAAGTGCTACATGATACCATATAACATTATAAGAGAATGTTATGTGAAATGAACCCCAAGATAGGGACACAAATCTTTTTTTTTATTCCATGAGATTCTTATCTCTATATTATCCCCCAAATAAAATTCGAAGGAGAGCTGTGGTTCAAATACAGAGCACCATGCTTGAGGGAAAATGCTTATGTGAGAAGGTAAGGTATTGAGTTTAAACCATAATATCAGCACTAAAAAAAGTGATTTGTTTTCCTTGAGGTTTTTATATTGCTCAGAATATAATCAACGTTGTATTTATGTTCAGCATTACTATTAAGATCGTTATAATTATTGATATTATTATTTATTTTCTTAAATTTTACTTACACATTAATATCCAATAATGATAAGAGATGATTACTGTTTCACAAGTTTTTATGGCAGTTGATGAGAGGTGCATACAAGGAATTTAGACTGAAAATAGATGTTTGGAAGCTCTTCACATAAATAAATGATGGCTGAAGAAGCTGTGGACATTGATGAAATAAAATAAAGAAACCAGCAAGGAAAGAAAAGGTATGATTCTGGAAAGCACACAATTTTGGAAGAAAAAAAACACAAGGAAAATATGTAGCTTTTGGGAAGATCTTTGTAACCCACTTACACATTTGATTCCTTATTTCTAGTGGAATGCATTTCAGTTAGCCTTATTTTACAAAGTTAAACATGATTGAATTTAATATTAACTGGCCTCTGTCTCAGGTAAGCAATAAGCCAGGTGCCAGGGGCTCATGTCTATAATTCTAGCTACTCAGAGGGCTCAGATCTCTAGATCTAGTTCAAAGCCAGGTTGGAGAGGAAAGTTGGTGAGACATTTCTGTTCAACTAACCACGAGAACACTGGAAGAGGCACTGTGGCTCAAAGTGGCAACCCAATCGTGAGTAGTAAATCTCAGAGACAGAACCCACGCCCTGAGTTCAAGCTCTCTGAAATTATTTTTAAAATACTTGTTATCAGGATTTCTTTAACTTGTCTAGAAGAATGTTTTAAACTTAGGGTTTTTTATTTCATGTTATCAGCATTGATTTTTAAGATGTGCAGAGAAAAATTATTTATAGTCAGAAATGTTTTGTATTGCTTTGTACTACACATTGCCTCTACACACAGAGATCAGCTGGAAAGCAGATGGCCAAATCCTGGCTGTTGGCAATGAAGATGGATATGTATTTCTTTTAGCAAAGAAAAAACTTATGAATTGGTAGCCTTTATATATAACACCTTAATAGTAACAACAACATTATTATTATTACTATTATTATTTTTTGTCAGTTGTGGGGCTTGAACTCTAGGTCTGGGCATTGTCCCTCAACTCTTCAGCTCAAGACTAGCACTCTACCACTTGAGCAACAGTGCCACTTCACATTTTCTGAACTTTTAGTTGGATATAAAGATCTCACAGACTTTTCTGCCCTGGATGGATTTGAACAGTTCTCAGTCTCCTTAGTCTCTAGGCCCAGCAATAAAATTATTTTGAAAAAGAAAAACCCCACGATTGTATACTTAAAAAAAATCACAATCTGGCAAGTGTATCTATAACATTGTTGTATCAAGTAACCATAGGCAGCACTCATTTTTACATCTCACTGTGTACTTTCTAATGCCAGATAATATTTCATTAATTTATTTTAATTTTTCCTAACAAAGTTCACTATGAATTCCCAACAGCACAATTTTCTAGAGAGTATAAAAATTCTTCAACATATTTATTTCAACGAACAGCAATTTGCACTTGGTTTTTTTTTAATTTTGCCAGAGCTGGGGCTTGAAATCAGGATCTGTGCACTCTCCCTGAACTTCTTTTGCTCAAGACTAGCACACTATCAATTGAGTCACAGCACCACTTCCAGTTTTTCTGCTTACGTCATACTTAGGAATCAAATCAAGTGCTTCTTGCATATATGGCCAGCACTCTACCAGTAAACACATTCCCAGTCATTGGGTCTTTTGTTGTTGTTGTTGTTGTTTTAAGATAGCATTTACCTATATGTCCATCTGAAGGCTTAAAACTTAGGCTGGCCTACAAACATTGACTACCATATTCAGCTCATGATTCTTTGTGAGTGAATACTCTTTTCAGATATAGGAACAGTTATTCTGTCTTTCTTTGACTAGATGGAATTTGCATTCAGCAATTTTAATCACATTTCTTGTCCTGGTATTTTTCCCCTTCTAAATCAATAGAAATATTTCAGGTTCTGAACTTGTAGCTGATCCCTACCATCCAACAACATCACATTCTTGTGAATAGCACAAGAATGGCCTCATGAGCATAGCAGCCAGCTGAAGTTCAGCTATCTGATGGCCTTGGGCTCCAACAATATAATCATTTCTGTGCACAGACTGAAAACTGTCATAGGTAATTTTGATTTATTCCATTCTGTTCTCAGCTACTTGCCATCCTCAGCTTTGTATGTTTTAAATTCTGTTAAATTTTAATTACTATTTCCAGCCATTCTCAAAAGTAACATATATGTCTTACTTTAAAACTCATTAAAACATGAAAAAATGTTAACATAGTTGCTTTCCACCCGTGGCTCATATTTTAAAATCTAGCTATTTTAGAGGTCAAAAACTGAGGATTCGGGTTTAAAGCAGCCCATGCAGTAAATCCGAGATATTTCTCCAATTAAGAAAACAAAATTCACTTGGAGTTGATTCTGGTGCAGGGTGATATATAAGGATCTAGCTTTAGTTTTCTACAAGTAGTTAACCAATGTTGCCAGCACCATTTACTGAAGAGACTGTCTTTCTTCCATTCTATTTTTTAGCTCCCTTATGGAAGATTAGATGGCTATAGATCTGTAGGTTCATTTCTGGGTTTTCAATTCTATTCCATTGGTCCTGAGGTCTGTTCTTATGCCAATACCAAGCTGTTTTGATTACTATGGCTTTATAGTAGAGTTTGAAATTTGGTATTGATATTCCTCCAGCAGTGTTCTTTCCATTGAGGAGTGTTTTTGCTACTTGGGATCTTTTATTGTTCCATATGAATTTTTGGATTGCCTCTTCTATTTCCTTGAAGAATGAGGGTGGAATTTTGATGGGTATCGCTTTGAATTTGTAAGTAGCCTTGGGAAGTATTGCCATTTTCACGATGTTAATCTTTCCAATCCAGGAGCATGGGAGTTTTTGCCATTTTCTAAGTTCCGTTTTGATTTCCTTTTTCAAGTTTTTAAAGTTTTCATCATAGAGGTCCTTCACTTCTTTGGTTAAGTTAATTCCTAGGTATT